GATCAAACTACACTATTACATCCTTCTCTATTATAACCTAGTCGCATTCGCTTGTCGAGAATGGACGAGTGACATAAAGTTTGTGAGTTCTCTCGGAGCAAATGTCCAAATATTAAACAAAAAAGTTTGTGCAACTTTGTGAAAGAACCAATGTATAGACGTCAGCGGCAGTTAAGAGAGAACAAGTTAATGAGACTGTATCCCTTTGTAGCCCTATTTCAAACGTTATCACTCTCAAGCTATTTTTAGACTTGGGTATCTGGTCTTCCGAGAACAATGTACATTTACTTAGTGTGTTGCTTGACGTCTCAGTGAAGAACGCATAGAAGCCGTGTAGGATCATGGGATGCGCACGTGAGAAAAATTGGCAACATTGGATTAATGACACATTGGATTTACCACTAGTTTTGGAGTGTGCCAAAAAAAAGGCCTTAGGGGAAGTACCGTAAGACTAAAGACCATACGAGGAGGGAGGAGAGAGGGTTCCGACTCTCAACTCACTCATTTCCCGTCAGAGCAGATTTTTTCATTCCCTATCTGCTGACTATTTGTTTTTCAGATGCCTTGGGTCAGGACGAGGATGTAAATACATATATCAATGGAAGCACCTGGTCTATTGGTGACTGCATCGACTGTTACTGCCACAATGGCGTTATCTCGTGTTCTAGAACGCTGTCAGTTATTACATCTAATGACACAAACACTGATAACTGTAGTCAACCGGATTGTGACGTAGCGGCGTTTTTGAAAGCAACTAGAGGAATCTGTAAAGGTAGGTGATTGTGACGGTAAAGCCGAATACCTGCGTAAAAGTGGGAAACCAGGATTCTTCAAAGGGCTCTCATCCTGTAATTACAAGAGCTGCAATTTTCTTTCTAGCTAATTTCTTTTCTTTTCTACCTAATTTTCTCTGCGAATTATCATATATTTTGTACCTAAAAGCTTGTTTACCACCACAATTCATCAGAAAATTACCACACTAAATTTAAGTTATCCATTCCCATGTAAATGACTTTTCTGCATTATGTTAGTTTGCATTTGGAGGAACCAAACATATCCGGAAGGCTACCGCTGGGCAGAGAATGGAGTTGACTTCTTTTGCAGCTCAGAAAAGCAGAGAGTGAGGCATGGGTGCTACTTGAAAGCTGGTCACGTGCAATGTACAGGGGCTTTTACAGGTTTGTTCCATGGGCCACTAACTATCGAGACATCCATCGTGTCATAAGGACTTTAAGGGACATTTTTTTTTGCCCAGAAAAACATGCTCCTTTTAGCTACTTTTTTAACATTCCCGCTTAGATTTGTGGACGTCGAAAAATAACTATTTTGCTTTGCTTTATACAAAAAACTGTTCCGATATTTTTTAGGCTGTTTGTGTTTTTCCCCTTTTTCAGGAGTACGAAACTTATCACTCATATCTGATGAAAGATTGTACCTCTGTAAGAGTGGAGATGAGATAAGATCACTTAACGACAGATGTGATCAGAAAGCAGACTGCAGGGACGAGTCTGACGAGAGAGACTGCGTTCAGTGTAAGTGTAAATTGCACTGACTGAGACCTGGGAACTAGTCATCATTTTTCGTCTGGGGGGAGGGGTTCGGAGGACAATGGAGGATCGTATGGTTTTCTGGGGAACGGAAGGGAAGATCAGTTGTCGTCGATAGAATATTGCAAATAAAAGAGGGACTTTTGGAAAAATTGACTGCTAATGAACTGCTGATGGAAGGGATCATAAGAGTATTAAAGAGTTTTCTGGGGGATCAGGTAAATTTTGGGGCGACAATACTGAGTCAGAGAGTTTCCGGAGGATGTCACCGGAATTTGAACCGTATCATCCTGTAACGCGCAAAAAAGTTTTCTTCAAAATTATGAAGACCACTAAATACTAGTTTTGCAAGATAGAAAGGCATAAAAATGAGGAGAATGAAGCGAAAAGAAACGACAAAGGTTGAGGATGGAAAGGATTGACAATAGATTGACAATGACAATAGATTGCTAATAATGAACTTGAAAAACTTTTCTAAGTTTGCTAAAAGCCATATACGCAAATCAGGGGATGTTTCCTGTACCCCATAAAAAAGGAAAGGAACTAATCTGAGAATAAATAAAATGGGCCAAGGTCTTGAACCATAAATAACAAGTAAAAGAGTCAAAAAAAGGTAAAAGTGATGTCAGTAACAAGAAACAGACAGTTAGGTCAGATAAAGGGAAGAGCGCGGAAGATCCCCAAACTAGCTTTTGATCGCAATAAACCTTCAACTAATGTCGGGCGCACCTTTTACTTTTAGGGCCTGGTCATTATTGATCACCCTGGTTGAAGGGGGGGAGATGGTAGTGGTGGATAATTTTTGTTGTGTTACGATAAAGTTGGAAAACCCCCCCCGAAATCCTTCAACCCTCCTACTTTCCAGGCGAAAAATAGTGACTGGTGTTTTATCTTCCTCTTATAATGATGCTGAATAACATCCTATTATGCACTTTGAAGATGTTGATTACAGAAGGAAAAAAAAGCACTTATGCCTTTTCAAGAATATTTTGTGTGAAAGCTGTTGTTAAAGGAACTTCGAAACAATTATTTCAGATTTCTGTCCATTTGGCACTAAGTTCAATATGTACTGGGAAAGAACTGCCCTGAATGAGATTGTTGTAAGGAACTGTTCAGAGGTGGATCCAGAATTAGGAGGTAGGAAAATGTTTTGATACTCTTCGTCGAAAAATTGTTATTTTGTGATAGATACTCAACACAAATTTAATTCCCAAGATCTGATTGTTAATTCTCCCCTTAAGCTTCCACGCGTTTCCTTGTGAATAAGCTTCAAGAATTTGGTGCGAGATGAAGGCAACATATTCTATCTGTTAAGTTTGAGTATTCTCATTACCTGTTCTCTGGGTAGTGTATGCATATTACAGTGAGAAGTTACATCTTAATCACTTCTGGGATTAAAAGGGTTAAAAGGAAACGATATCACTCCTAGAAGTCAAAAGCAGTGCCCAGATGTACGTAGAAAACAGTTTCCTGCTTAGGTGCACTTCACATGGCATTTTTTTTCTCCGAGCAAGGAGTATGATAACTTGGGTGAGGAGAGCACATCCTGAAAAGTCAGTAACATTAACCGAAGCTTCAACAAATTTATCATAAAAAGGAAGTGAATTAACTTTGGCTATCATTTCGGTTATAGAAATTTCAGCCACGCGCCTCGGCGAGTAACAGTAACTTTCTGTTCTTTCCTCCCCAGGAGGATTACGTAACCCAATCAGTTGTTATTTCAAGGTTCAGACTGTGTTCAGTGCTTGTGTTAATTTTTGTACTATATCCTTTCATTGTGTAAACCCGATACAAAATTGAATTAGATCTGTGGAGCTTACTTCGTCAGGCATTCGCGTAGGCTTACAGCATTTACTGTTGGTTGTACTTTTCATTCGATTAGACTTTGAATCACCATCATTAGAGTGTTAAGATTGAATTAATATTGTTGTGCCTCAGCAACGTGCTTTTCATTTATTTATTTTTATTTGGCCACAGGATATTCCACGAGCCGTTGTTCTTCACAAAATGGTCGTATGACAACGTGGAGTTTCAAAGAAAGCTGTTTTTGCGAAAAAAAATCCCTTCGTCAAGAATTCAGGCATAAAGTATGTAGTAGCTTGATTCCGATGTATTCTAATCCTTATATAGGTTAACAGGTTGTATTCTAATCCGCGGTTGTTTGAAACGCGATACATGACTCAATTGGTATAGCAAATAAATAAATCAAGCTTTTAATTTATTTCCAATTTTTTTTTGTTTTTGTAAGGGGGGACGGTAAGTTTCTAAAGAAACTTTGGTGTTGCGTCAATGAGGAAGATAACAACCAAGATAATTTGGTATTGTCAGTTGAGTTGCGTATGTAAATTGGCCATCGTATAGGGTTTGTAGAATTCGTCGTTCACTCTGACAAAGAGCTAACGCGCGAAACATCAGATTTAGAACTCTTTACAGTGGCCATGAACCAAATGCCGTAATTAAAATAGTTAGTTTGATTCACGCTCGTACAAACGAAGAAGTTAAGATGATCGTCATCATGTTTGTCCTAAAGTTCATCGGGTAAACAACTAAGTTTGCAGGAACTAATATAAGGCTTCTCTCTATTCATTTTCAGCTATCCATAATGAATCTAACAAACATTTTGGAACTAACAAGAGGATTTGTGAACAAGGCCACTAACTTTACAAACAAAGAACTGTTCTTTAATTATCTAAGCCTTTGGTTTAAAAGTGGAGCTCTCCTACTAAATCCAGTCAACCATTCCAACGATATGGTGGCGCTCAATTTCTCACAGGTATGAATTTCAGCCTTAATCATAACCATTACAATTTGCTCAAACGTGATTGGTGCATCAGCTGCTTTATATTTCATTAATCACTCTGTACAGTTGTAATTGGACAGTTGGTTGTTATCGGATACCTGTAATCGGAAATTTGAGCTAGCCAACCATGCTAAGTCCACTCAGCTAAATCCACCAATCACAGAATTGATCACAATAACTATAGTAACAACCACTTACCCTTAAAAGAAAACTGGGAAATTTCCAAATTTTTTGCGTTAGACATTGTCCCTATTGGAGATCTTTGTCCTAAATGTTTTTTTTTTCCGAAATTGTAATGGTTATGATTAATTAATTGGTAACAGGACTTCGTGTCGTCCAATTCTGTCTGCAATCATACTCGTGATTGACAAATCGGATTCTCGCCTCGCGCTCGTCCGATTTTGTTAATCACTCGTACGATTACAGACCGAATTGGACTCCGCTCGGTCCTATTACATTATTTATTACCAAATGACAGACTTTACATTCTTTGTCAGTTTAAAATTACATACGCGCCTACTTTTTTAACGAAGAACATAGGAATTTTTTTAAAAAGTTATGGGTATCTTTTTTTAATAAATCAGATAAAGGCCTTTCTTAGAGGCTTGATTTATCTACACTAGTTATCAAAGAATTAAAGAAACTCTCTTGGACCAGTCGCGTTTAATCACCTTGGGGTGAGGGGTCGAAGGATCTTACATTGGGAGATTACATTATTTTCAGGGGAAACGGAGGGGGGAATTAGTCGTCGCCAACAGTGTCTGCAAGGGGGGGGGACCATTGAAGAAATGTAAGTGTTTACATCGGGCTATGTAAACATGGAAACCATTTTACATTTCTTTTGTAAAATAACTAATGAAAGAGCCTCTTCTTGCAACGAAGGAAAGCGACGTGCTTGTTGTTGTTGTTCTTTTGGCTTTTCGGCCGTTTCTTGAATACTGGGAAAATTAAACTCCAAAGAAAAATTAGGAAAATCTTCTTCTTCCATTACTGTACTCAAAGAAAACTTAAGAAACTGAGTTACTGCTAAATAAATAGCAGGGAGAACTCCGCGAGAAGATTCAGTATGAAAACATTGTTTACATACGCTCATGTAAAATGGTTTTATGGCCAATCAGAGCGCACGTACTATTTGAATTATTCTATAACAAAGATTGACTGCCAATGAGAGAGGGGGGATCATTAGCAATACTAAAGAGCCTGGGAATCATAATGTGACACAAAATCCTGACCCCCACCCTAGTGATAAATAATGACTGCTCCCTTACTGAATTTCGAAATGCAGATGCAGAGGGTAGCCTTTTTTAATGATTGTTTAGGGGTTCATTTTCTTATTGACCTCTTATAGGATTGCGAATTATGAGCTTTTCATGTATGTTCTTTCTCTCAAGGCCATGTTCCAAACAACTCAGACCGAAAACGTTTTCAAGCCTCAGTCAGACTCCTTTTGTCCCAAAAAAGTGGTAAGTATGCGTGAAACATACTGTAAGATAAGAAAACGCAAAGCTAAAACAAGAAAGTAAATAAACACGCAACATAATAAAACAGTATTTGATAAGACTTCTGATTTGAAAGTAATATTCCATCTAAAAGACTTGTTTATAATTCTTGAAACAAAATTAACCAACTTTATTATATCTCCGAGACTTAGACTAAGTTAGTACGTGCGCTATTATTGGGTAATTTAAAGGGCCGTGTTTCACTGTACAGCCCTCTCAAAATCAAAGTTTGTTTAAATTGAAATCTTTCACCTCTACTTCACCCCAGAGATATTATAGATATCTTGGCTAACCTCGTTTTCTCGGTCTGCACTGCAAGTTACGGAACCTCGTTCTTCCGCTCGGATTTATAAATAGGAGCGGGAAAAGACTCGGTCTGTAACTTATACTATCGACCTCGAACTCGGTTAGGATGAGGTAAGTGTGGTACACACCTTTAAAGGAGCTACGCCACATCAAGGTTTTCTTTTAGGGGGTGTTAATTTTTTACTGACGTAGATGAGCATTAAAGCTAGATGGCTTTAACCAATTCGAAAACGATCAAGGATAAGGATTGTTGAGAAAAACTAAATTAATCGCAAAAGACGAAAATCCACAAATGATGACAAATGTGATAATGATGATGATGATAATGATCTAATAAATCCGTGTGGCATACTGTGGCTGCCTTAGTTCAGATGTTTACGTGGTCCAGTTTGTCCACTGTTTCCAGGTCGAATTTTGAATTTGAATGTTGGTATTGAGGAGCGAAGAAATCTGGGGGACATGGAGAAAACCCTTGGAACAAGGCCGTGAACCGACCATGATTAACTCAACGCCAGGCCCGGGAATCGAACCCGGGACACGGTGGTGGGCGGCGAGCACTCTCACCACTGCGCCACTCCCCAGTTCTTCAAACTCGATTTGAGAAATTTCAAACTATATAAAAAAAACTTTGCCATAAATTTGAGTTTCTATGGATGTCGAACTTTTTTTAGTCTCTAAATTGTTACCGTCTTTGTTGTTTTCGCAGACGTACTGGCAGCGCTGGTCATTAATGCAAGATATCAAGGAATTTAATTGCGGGGCCTCAAATCTGACGCATACCTTCCGGTTTTGTTTCACTCCGATACCGATGGAATAGTAAGTCAAGTAAAGACCAATTACTTTACACTAAAGTGAAAATAAGTAGCGCAATAATACTGACAAGTGAACGGCAATTGCTAGAGAGATGCATAAAAATAAGCCAGAAAATAAGAAGAAGACTTCTTCACCAGAATTTTTTTTTTTCATCATCGTAGCTCATCTACAACGATGATGTTATTAATGCTTGTTATCTCCTGCATGAAAACTATTGATTCGAGGGTTTCATACAAATCGAGATTAAGTTGAAATGGTGAGTGAAATTCGTAGACTTAAAGAATAGACATTGATCGACTTCAAGTGTCTTTTTGGTTGACTTCCGCTGAGCAGCTCATCCCAATTCCCATTTTTTTCCCTCACGTAGTAAGTGATGTAACGCACTGTATTTAAGGCAACACAGCAGTCAAACATCGACCATGCGCGAGAAGATCAATTCTGGCCGACCGTGCGCGCGAATTTCCCATGGAAAATTTCTAAGAAAAACATTAGAAACAAAAGATGCCTTGAAAAAGAAGCGAAAGAGAATGGAACCTTTCATAGAAATCTTTAAAAGGAAACAAAATTAGGGAAAATAAAAACTCGAGATCACAAACTTATTCAAGTACGGATATCCTGTTGATTTACCATTCTGTTGTGACAGAGCAATTAGCAATCGCGCGTCATCCGCAATTTAACTATTCCTTCTTACTTTGCCTTGATTGGTTTCAGAAACCCGGGCCAAACTCTTAACCAATCAGAATCACCATTAAAAGCAGTCGTAACAAATCACTCGCGTTTTACCGCGCTCCAGACAGCTTGAAGTCCCATTGGCTTCCTGCAATATTTTCCTCAACCCTTTTTGGCTGTTAGTATCTAGTTTTTGTTTTACGATACCCATGGGAATGCTCTCGCGGTTTTGAGAACATTAATTGTAAAGAATGGACTCATTCCTTATTCATTGCTGTTTTCCATGGAATTTATTCCCGTATACTTCTGTATATCCTATAGTGTATTTCCTCTTCCATTTATCGGAGGCAACTTAAGCCCAGAATCTCCTCCTATAACTATCCATTGGCTGCGATCGGTCCTAAAACTGAGGATTGATCCAAATCAGCTGTCCTTAGGAAGTGATACTGTCAGCTCCCTTTCACTTCCTCCGGGAAACATCACTAGCGAGGTGAGTAGTGCACTAAAGAAAAAAGGCCGCCGCGAATTCTAACGTACGAGGGAAACTGATAATGTCTGAAAAATTCCTTTTGAGGGAAATGACCTCAAATTTCAGTCAGGATATTTGTGTTAATTCTCTCAATCCTAAGAATATCGACTTAAAAGAAAGTTTTTACTTCAATATCCACCTATCTCTAATAATAATATAGGTACTCATGGGCTATCATTTAATTTCATACTGAATTCTAAACCCAATCGAACTCACTCATACTTTTCTCAAAATGACCTTTATTGAGAGCACATCTACCTTATAAAGCGAAATTTAAGGAGGAAAGCTTTGACTCAAAGAGCACCTCCTGTTTTTCTCTCACTAGATGAATTTCAGTCGCGTACTTGTTCCTCTTCAACGTTTCAACTGTGCTTGGATTGAATATGACGTAAGTCAAATAACTTTTATTATAAACGGTAAAGAGTTAGATCGTTGGTGCTGAGGGGGGGGGGGGGGGGGGGGGGGGTCGGATACGCCTTTCATTCTTTTATGCAGTAAATTAGTGGCCAGTTGCCAATGTTGCGGAAACTTTCGTTGGTTAAATCATTCGAACTTATTTTCTCAGGTGAATGGAACGTTAAAAATCACAGCCAGGGAAGTTAGAGATGAGGAAAAAGAGAGGAAAGCTATGGCTAAAATTCACCTGGATCTTATTCTCAGCGGCATTTCTACAGTGGTTGTCGTAATTTGCTTAATACTGCTTTCCTGCCTAAGGTACTCAGTCAGTTTGATACTCAGAAGTGTGACTAATGTGCCTATCAATTCGACGTTTCAGCATCCCCCAGGCACCTTACTGGCATTTGAATGTCGTCTGTAGCCGGGGGAGGGGAATTGGAACCTTGCTGGGATGGGGTAGGGCATTTGAACTGCAAGTGTCAAGTCTTATTAACGTAATAAACGTGTTTTAAAGGAGGAGTTTAAAAGTAGAGTCTGCTTTCGTGAGCTTTTTCGAGCGCAAGTTTGGCCCGTGGGGAGGGGGATTTGAACACGCTCATCTTCTAAAGTTCAAACGCCAGGGGGGATATTGAAGCTTCTAATTGATCAACGCATAACACAGTAATCAGACTGCCTGACTGATGACTTACCGGTTGACTGCCTAACCAGCTGAATGACTCGGCTATCTGACTGACTGACTGACTTGCTTACTAACTGACAGACAGACAGACTGATTGTTGTCTGACTTGCTGACTGGTGCACTGACGAACTGACTGGCTGGCTGGCCGTCTGACTGATTGACCGACTGACTGACTGAACAACTGTCTGACTGACTAATTTACCGACTAAGAGAGTGACTTGCTCGCTTGCTGCCGTTCGTTCAAATGTGGACTGACTTCCGACTGATAGACCAGTAGTTAACAGTTATATATATGTCTGACCAGCCGAACTTTGAAATGTGCATACCCTTTGGTCTGCAACTGATTTAATAGCACAAACATTAATTGACGATGAAGTACCGATTATATAGCTGACGGAGTAACCTCTTTTCTAACACAGGATAAGAAACTCCGAGAGAATATTTGTTCATAAAAACCTTTTAATATCCATATGCCTGGTTTACATCGTGATGATTTTAGACTCGTGGATTTTTACAAACAGGAAGCAGACACCGGTGAGTTTTACTGATCCTGATTCTTATGAAAAAATCCCGGTATAAGTAATGTACGCAATGGCTCGAGCAGGGTCGGGAAAAGCTGCGCAGCCCAGCGTATGTCCCCGCGAGATGTGAGGAAGAAAAATATGTAAGAAAGTGAGGAAGAACGAGAAAGAAGGCGGTCCCATTATGAAATGCGTATTGACAGGCAATGTCGGGTCGGACCGTGTGGACCAAACGCAGCGAAGTCCGTGAGTTGTCACCACGAGCCAAATGTTTTCCGTCCGGCCCTCCCGCTCAGATAATAAGAACACATCGTTCCTTGATAGGTTTTAGCAAATCTTGTAGAAGCCTATACTCCTAGTTTGAATTGGATCTTTTTTCAGCTTGAAAAACCCAGATTTATATGGCAACTAGACATTTCTTTCTTTTTTTTTTCTTTATGATATTGTAGAAATTATGTTCAGCTATAGCTGTCCTCCAACATATAACACACACCGCTATTTTCACGTGGATGTTGGTTGAAGGAATTCATCTTTACATCAAGCTGGTGAAAGTGTTTTCAGTCCACAAGCTCTATATCACATACGTTGTCATCGGGTGGGGTAAGGCTCTGGTGACAGCTTTTATCATCTCTCTCATTTGGTACATGCAGTATGATCGGTCAGCCTGGCGGACCTTAGCGGTCCATTAATTACTGTACCGCCCTCTAAACTTAAATTATTGTTTGAATTTAAATCTTCTCCCTCTTTTTAAACCCAGAGTTTTAATAACTATCTTACTAACCTCGTTTTCTCGGTCTGTGCCGTAAGTGATGGAACCTGTTTTATTTTTTCGCTCCAATCTATAGCCCATAATTTTAGCGCTTGGGCCAAAAGTCAGTGCGGAAAAAAGACCATGAGAACGAGGCTACTGAGAGGAATGTAACTGAGATGCTATACCTCAGTCTTACCTTATATAATGTAGTGTGTGGTGTTATCATGGCTTTTCTCTTTTTATGGTGTTTGATGCGACATTAAGTGCGGTGTGTCCACATATAGTAGTTCTGCAACATTACTGCCGTTAGACATGGGGATCATAACCGGAAGGAAACTTTTGTTTACAATCAGATTAACCCATAACCGGGGGTACTTTGATCTGGGATTTCACAGTATACCAACCTCCTTTGACCACAGGTTTACCAGTTGTTATTGTGGGTCTAATAGCAGCCATCAGACCTGTGACATATGATATGAGTAAGACATACTACAAGGACGTCCTGTGTGGATCACTGAAACTTTCAGCGGAGATTATACGTGACAGGTTGGTATAACTCTACAACTTCCTCGATTAGGACCATTAACTCTTTCTTTTAACTGCCACACTTTTTCTTTTAAGAGGCCGATGTGTTTGATTTATAATGTTTTGAATGTCTGTTTCTTTAGTTTTTTCGGATCGTAAAGGTTTGGTTCACAAACTTTTCTATATCGATTTTTCTATTATTGTATTTTCTATTTTTTTCCTTTTCATTTGCAACAAAGCGGAAAGTTGCAAATGAATAAGTAAAATGCATTGATCCGCTTTCCTTTTTCATTACTTAGTCATGTTGGAATATTGTTATCTTTTTAAGGTGCTGGCTTAATGACGGTGAATGGCTGCATAAAGGACCAATCTTGGCAATTCTCGTGGTAGGCTCAACTTTCTTCCCAAATCAATTTTGAAGTAATTGTTTATGTGTTTTTTGAAAAGTCCAGCTTTTTTCTTAGACTATTGATTACTTACCGCCGGGGTGTGAGGGGGGGTGAAGAATAAATAATGACCATGAACACCTTTATGTCTGTTTCTTTTGAGTTCTCGTTTAACTCTTTTGATACTTTCCTTTGTTCTGCTGCGCCGTTTCGACTAAGGTGGCTGGGTTTTGTTCTTGTGACTTTCAATCATGCGCTCCAACTTACTGTACTTCAAACGACCAAGCAGACACATGACATGAATATCAGAATGTTTTTTAAGGTCAAACATTTTTCAATTTTTCATGTCCAGTTCAATCTGGTGATATTTGTAATTCTGCTGAGAGTTATCTTCACCAAGATATCGGACAAATATCAGACTGATAATGTAGAGAAGACCAGGTAAGTTTCTTCTTTTGTTTTCTCGTTCCTGTTTCCTTTCTTTTATATATATATATATATCTATATATATATATTTGCTTATGATCTAGTAAAAGAGTCAGATTTGTGTTGTATGTGTGATTTTTTTAATTAACAAGATCTTTTAACTAGATGCTATTCACTAAGATATTCGCGAAGGGCTAATAGAAAGTGGCAAATATGTTTTCTCCCACGTGCGCACAGAATAGGAAATGCTGTTTAGAAGTATTTGAAATTGAGCTATGCTCTTCTACGTTCTGTCGCCAGAGAAACTGAGATAAACTTCAGTGGTGGTTCCGTGGCTCTTTGAACGTTTGGCAGTCAATGTCCCCCCCTTTATACTCTGTTGGCGACAACTGAGCATCCTTCCGTTCCAGCTGACAACCATGTCATACCCCCCAAAAACATCCTCTGTCCCCCTCCCCCCAGTGATCGATCCCTTAAGGTTCCTTTCATCTTACAGAAAAGGATTGAGGAGCATCGCAGCTCTACTGCCCCTGTTGGGTGTCACGTGGCTGCTGGGGTTCTTTATCCACTGGAGTGAAGTCCTTGCGTATTTGTTCATCATACTCAACTCGACTCAGGTACTCACGGTTCTATGTGCTCTACAGTTGCTGCTATCGATCATGTTTGTCTCACGCGTGTTTCTTTTGATTCTTTTAGGGTTTGGTGTTTTGCATCTTCCATGGCTTCTTGGATGACCAGGTATTTTCCAACTTAACTCGTACAGCTTTGGTGTAAGTTTGATGCAGAATATCGTGTTCCTTGTGGTGGCCCTCTGAATTGATGGCTTATCTGCTAAAACCTCCACTCTCAGAACTTTAAGTAGAATCGCTGATTTTCTATACTTGTTTGTTGCAGTGTTTCTTTATTTGTTACAATAGGTGAGAGAGAGTTTGCTCAGATTCATTAGAAGGACACGATTAGGAATTTTGACCCAAATTTGCAGATCTATTGTATCAACAACTACTCAGTTGTCACCTGCAGGTATTAGTTCTTATTAGTTCATTCTTGCTTTACGCTGTCTTGTACCGTGCAGAAGCGTTTGTTGCCATATACGTTTAGTTCGGGGAATGCGCGTCCTCACGAGACTGATATATCTAGCAGCGAAGTGCTAGACAAATTTTCCACGTGTGGGATTTTTCGCTGAGCCTATCTAATCATTCTCTCTTTTCTTTTCGCTTTTTTGTCTATCCTTTCTCTATCCTTTTTTCTTCCTTTCCTTTTCCCTCTTTCCCCTCTCTCCTCCTCTCTGGCTGCCGTTTTTTTATCTCATTCGGATCCACTCTATTCCAGACTTTTTTTACACTTACATAGGGACCGGTCATTATTTATCGTCTGGGGGATTGGGGCGCTGGAGAATTTTGTTTGTGTCACGATAAAACTTACCTGATCCTCCATAGGTCTCTGTAATATTCCTAGGAGACCCAACCACTCCCCCCCACCCCCCGTCCTCATTGGCAATTAATTGGCAGTCAATTTTCTATAGCCCCCTTTATACTCTGTGGTTGACGACCGATGTCCCCCTCCGTACCCCCTGAAAACCATGTTATCTCTTCAAATTCTCCTCCCACCCAACCCCCAAGCGGTGAATGATGACTGACCTTATACCTACCACATACTATAATTATTTATAGACTTGTGATCTTTCCTCTTTTCCGATTACTAAATTGAAAAGAATTTTTCAAGGGTGGGAAACAAATGTATGTGGAATTTGGGCCTGGGTGCCGGTGGAGAAATTATGAATATCAGGTTTTTCAGCAATCTTTTTATCAGTTCTTCTTTTCTATGTTCAACTTTCAGGTTCGATAAATGACCAAGCGAACACGGGTCAACGCCCAGGGATTGCTGAAATGAAGCATTTAGATACTAAACTTTAATGGTGTCTCTTGATGGAAAAAAAAAAGCTCCTTCTAACTTTGTAACAGCTAATTCAGTTTTTTAACCTATTTGACGCCTTGATATGAAGCTAATGGCTGCAGTGAACAAAGACAATTTTTTTCCGTACTAGTGCTGTTTAAGGAGGTCAGTTGTGTAGAAAGAACGTACCTCAGGCAAGCATACTATATATTTAGTCAGTGATACTTAAGGAATGTTTAAAAAATGCAAAGTGGGACATGAACAATTCCATAAGGAAATAAAAGAAACTTATTATTAAAAGCTTATTGATGTAGGAAAATGAACAAGAATTATTGTTATTATTTAGAATCTTAGTCACTAACAGAGTCCATCCACTGTACATACAGTGTTAAATATTCCGTTCAACTGCTTTCATTAAAGATAAAGTTTTGCCTCCAATTGTTCACGTGAAAGTTCTCAAGTTGATACTCTCATCAGGCCATTGGGAAAGATTACAGTTTACCATGCATGAACAACCAGTCTCCAGAGAGCCCTAGTGATTCATCCGAATTTGCAGTGTTTTCACTGGTTCCCAAAGTTAGATAAATGAATATCTATTCTCGTATTCTGTGTTTACAAATTTGCCTTTGGCAGGATTATTCGAGAACTATTGAAAGCAAACGGTTTAAAGAACAAGACATGACTCTGCACCCCCCCCCCCCCCCCCCCCCCTCCCCCTTCCGCTCTGCCGTCCCCGCCAACTTAATATATCCCCTCATCCGCTACTTCCCTATCCCCGGGAATTCAGCGGCATTACTGATTACACAGCCGCAGAGGACTTCGACATTGTTCGTCCAGGCGCGTCAGGAAAGTCTCGAACAGGTGATTGCGAGCTCTTGGGCGCTGTCTTAGATACCTTTCCAGCAGTGTATAACCCCTAGAGGTTAGTACACGAGGTAAATAATTTATATCTTTTAATGCATTGTCATGTTGCACTAATATTTGACTCAATCGAGGAAGATCAGACAAACAATGAATTCAGCTGATGCACTACTCAGTGATCGCTGGTTAAGTTTGCAAATTTAATTTGTCACTTTTAACGGTTTAACTTTATGAGCTTAGCTTACCCATAGAAATATTTAAGTTTACAAACTCGTCTTTTCTTGCAGAATTTTTAAGATCACTTAATTGTTGTGAAATTGTGCCAATCGCCCGACATCTGAGCACTACCCGTGGATCGAAAGTTTCAGGCTAAAATGTAGCGTTCGATGTCAGAATAAGCACTTTCACAAAATCTTTGGGAGAGAATTACCTAGGTGTCTCACTTATAATATTAATTTTAACATTAAGTGAGCTATGATACAATGCTCGCAGCCTTTGAGCTGCATGTTTGTATTTTTACTTCGATTACAGTTCGTCACGTAGCGAGGTTGCGTGACAAAATGGAAGACAATTTAGTGGAAGATGAGTATTCAGTGGAAACGCTGACGGTTATTTATCCGTTTGAAACAATTTTTTTTAGAATCAAATTTTGGATATTCCTTCTGAATATACTGGCCTTTCCTCTTTAGGTTCAAAACACCACAATCAGTGACAATGCATGTGACTCGAATAGGGCTCTGAAGTATTAATTTCATCGTATCTAGTTACTATTTACTATCACTTTTATCTATGCTCTCTTTGTCGTAATCACAGAAGTTATCACAATGCCAGAGGGAAGTGGTTTCTCATGGCCACAGCTGCTGACAGTGGAACCTGTTCTCTTCCTGTATGCATTTGGGTTGTTCATGAATGTTCCAGTGTCGCAGCAGTTTATTTACCACAGGCTGAGTGATGCAAAGGGATTCCCTTATCACTTTCAGCAAGACACAGGATGTGAAGGAAAGAACCTGAATGCTTCCATGAAAAAGCTTGAGAAAGAGGTATGGAATAAATGTAATGCATTGGGCCTTCAGACTGGAAGTGCAGTGATTGTTTTATTTTTAGTTTTAAACCATATTCAAATGCATCCACTCCACAGTGCTCCAAGATACAGTGTGGAAATATCAGATTTTCAATTTAGCCATAACTGCTGTGTGGTAATTTGATATCAGGTGTAATTGGTTTACATTGCAATTTTGCATGAAAACTGGTTTAATTGTTGAAAACCATGCTAACATTATTTCATGCTGTGACATTAATATATGTGCAATAAAAGAAGGTTTTGCATTTCAGCATGTGTTCAGCATGTTTCAGCTTTGGAGGCTTGATGACAAGGGTGCCAGATCCCTTGCAGATCCCTTGCTGGCTCATGTAAATGGGCACAAAGGGGGCCAAGAAATGCTCATTCTGTAGCACTGATAAATTGACAACCTGCTTGCTGTTTATGGACCTGCTTGCTGTTTATGGACCTGCTTGCTGTTAAATGAAATTACCTATGTGATGATGTTTCATCTACCACAGGTGCAAACGGATGCTTCATATGTTCAGCTGGGTATTGTTATGTTTTCTGCCCTCCCATCAATCATCATTACTTTATTCATGGGTGGATGGACAGACAAAGTTGGTCGACGCCCTGCCCTGATCTTACCTACTCTTGGCAGTGCATTAGAAGCTGTAGTAGTTCTCTTAGTCATGTACCTGAAATGGCCTATTTACTGCCTGTTCATTGGTGGATTTCTGCATGGTATTTGTGGATATTACACAACTATCATCTTAGCTTGCATGTCCTATGTGGCAGATACAACAGAGGAGTCCAGAATTGCCCTACGATTGGGTGAGTCTTGTGCCTAACAGCTGTTGATATTATTTTTTTAAAATAACATTCCCCTTCCTTGGTAATTGGTAGAATTGAGGGGTTCAGATAAGCAATATGTAGGTCTTCCGTTTTGTCACAATTAGAGCCAAAGTAGGGAGTGGAAGGAGGGACAGATTTTTTTTTTTAATTTTTTGATAAACAAGTGTCATGGAATACAAACTCCTTCCACCACTTGTCATACTTGCACCAGGCTACTTTTTCAATGGTAGACAATGATGAAAGGCTAATTGCAAATTAGGAATGTCTTTAAACTCATCTTTCTTTTCCCCAGGCCTCTAGTGAATAATACAACCCATATCCCTTGGTAATCAGCATAAAGTCTTAGTTAAAGTTTTTGATCCTCTTAAATACCTTGGATCAATGACAGTATCTGAGCAACTAGGCACATACCCCTCCCTCAACAACCACAACATTAACCTTAACTTGTCATCAGTTGACTATTGCAAGGTTAGGGGAGGGGTAGGTGTACAGTTTCTCAGATACTGACATTGATCCAATACTTTTTGCCTTCCTGCATGGGAAGACGGCTGAATAAAAGAACTTATTATCTTGTCAGCCAATCAGAATGGAAAATATCCCCATATATTTTAATGCTGCATATCACTCCTTTTTCCTTTATTCACAAAATTACAGGTATTATCGAACTAATTGTATTTCTTGGCGGCATGGTGGCTCAGCTGACCAGCGGACTGTGGATAGAGAAACTCGGATTCATCACTCCTTACTGGATCATATTTGGATGCCATATGGCCGCCGTGCTCTACGCCATTTTCTTTGTACCAGAATCGCGCGCAAAATCCAGCGAAAACCCAGGAAGGTTATTCAGCCTTCAGAACTTGAAATCCAGCTGGAAGGTTTACGGCAAAGCTACAGGCAGCAAGAAAAGAAACTTAGTGGTTTTGACGTTTTGTAACGGTGTTCTGGCGATAGCAGTGATGGGAATCAATGGCGTAGTGAATCTTTACACTCTTCACTCGCCCTTGTGTTTTTCGCCGACGTTAGTGGGATATTTCTTGGCGTTTCGTCAATTTATGCATGGAGTCGGTGGAGTGACAGCTATAAAAGTGCTCGGGATGTGTCTCCCAGATGCCGTTGTCAGTCGTATCGCCATCTTGTCGTACACAGGGTTTTTGATTTTTCTAGGATTCTCCGCAAACGAGTTCATGGTTTTCATGGGTGAGTATAGAGTCGAAAGCTTTCAATTATTATTGAAACGAAAAAAAAGAGATCCTTCGTGTGTTTCAAAAATTATTTAAATATAGATTATTATGAATTATTCAACATCCCAATGTACTAGGAAGATTCCGCGCGAAGAAGTCAGAATGTTCTCGATAAGTACGCAAGCAATCTTCAGATCTTTCGAGCTTTAGATAAGTCTGAGGACTCTGAAGATAGTGATACTTACTTGCATTCCAAGGTTCAATTTTCGTTCTTCTTGTTTCATATTTTTATCTCTTTCATTTTATTTTTTCAGCTCCCTTAGTTGGTATCTTTGGTGGTGCGGGACAGCCTGTCTTCAGAGCTATGATGTCAAAAATTGTGAGCACAGACGATCAAGGTAAAGATATGCTGTACTAGTACTGCTATAATTTGGAATTGATTCTTAAACGAAACTTTAGATGAACGTTTTTTTTTTCCGCGATGATTTACCAAGTTCTCTAACGCGCAACCTTTCATTTTCCTAATTAAACCTTTTCTCCCGCTTTCTTGACATCTTTCTTACCCTTGAATGCAAACGCTCTTTCTTCTTTAGTAGCTGTGGCTAGGGAACGATCCGAGATTTAGCGCGCTCATCTTTTTTTCCTTAACTCAGATCTCTCATTGCTGTGATGTATGGATTAATTTGCTGTTTTCTTTTTTTTTAGGGTCACTTTTCTCCACGGTTTCCTCCATAGAGATGCTCTGCACTTTCGGGGGTACTGCGTTGTTCAGTTCTTTGTACCCCAAATCTCTGAAATTCAACATGCCGGGATTTGTGTTTGTCCTGGGAGGCACTTTGATGCTGCTACCACTGCTCTGTACCTTGTGAGTTCATTCAGTATTATTTTTTAGCTGTTATCAGATAATTTCGACGGGAATTCACATTTTCTAGGGCATTCGGGAGCAGATATTTACCTCTCAGTTGTCGGTGTGGCTCAATACATCATTGTATACGAATGTGGGATGTAAAGCGCTTTAGATTTAGCGTCGTGAAACGAAGGCCGCGGCAATCACGATGCCCAATCAGAACAAAGCAAGGAGCAAAAAAGAACTCGAGCGCGGGAAAACTAGAGTGACTCGATCAGTTTTAGTTTTGCATCTGATTGGTTGAGACGGTGGTAAGAGTATCATAGATTTTTGAAAAAGATTACCAATAGAAAGGCCAATACAATCCTTGAATACTTTTGATATTCAATTTAATATCGTCCAATCGCATAGTTTCCCTCAAATCTTTCTAGGATTGTTCACAACTATGAATTTTTCAGTAATCTTTAAATGCATCGCATTATTCCGGTGTGAAGCCCGCAGTACGTACCTTTGTGAAACGTCAGAGTAATTTTGACTTGTACAAAAAATTGATCACATAGAATTATACTTAATTCGCTTTCCTGTTATTTCCTTCTTCTAAAAGATGTAACAAGACTGTAACACTGTTTATCACTAGTTAATGATTTAGTGCTTTTACCTTTCAGTTGTTTGAGGGATCAAGAGATGTTCTCACGGAGAAGGAAAATCGTCAATGAAAATACCAAAGATAGCGAAGATGAGAAAGAAGATGAACCTTATGAGCCCGACTCTCCTGATATTTATGTGCCCGATAATTCCCCCATCATCCAACCAGTTCCTTAAGGGAGTGCGATGCTCCTTTGATACTGAATCATAAAAGGTTATTTTTACCCTTCAAATGAATCATGAAAATTTTGAAAAAGATTATGTGCATAAAACTGAGGCTATGGGCAGGGGGCAGAAGCGAGGCGTGGAACTGAGACTATTGCGAGCAGGCTTTTGTTAAGGTTACGACACGAGCAGAGAAGCTCGCGAGTTTCGAACCGGTGAGCGAAGAGAGCGTGCGTGAGGTCGCCTAGCGTTCTGGCAATTTTTGCACCAGACTCTTGCAGACTTCTCGCAGGCGTCGCCGTCGTTTCGCAGCTATAACAAGAGCGCGCTCGCAGGCTCTTGTTACAATTGTAAATGATTGGCAAAGTTTTCTTGGGGCGGTCATGTCAATGAGTAAGTAACCTTTCTTCATAACCGCCGTGACCTGTCTTCTGTAGAAATACATATTATGTTGCGTGACATTTGGATAAAAGCTACTATGGGGAGGCGTGAAGAAAATTTCCACTTCCCCGCTCGACGATTAATCGCGCTGCTTCTGTATATTCGAACAAGGCGAAAGAGTTTGTTGCACAGGTTTAATGAAAGCCGAAAGGGGAAATCGTGTTTAATTTCATGAGAGCAATAAGAATTTATGTACTGAAAAGGATATTTTATTTTTAAAACAAGGCAATTAGTACAGTCAAAATGAAGGCAAAATATAAAGCTCACGACAATCAGTCAATTACAGAAAAACCTAATTTTGATTACCAAAGAGCCAGAATTGGGAGAATATATGGAGAAGTCATTTGGAATAAATTGATAAATATTTTATAACAACTATCATGAAGATGGGAGACCCAATCCATTTTTGAAATTGTAAAGATATGAAAAATAAAAAAATAATTGAAACTTATTGTTGGGACAGTTTTCAGTTTTGTCTTAGATTAACTTTGATGCTGTGCCCAAATTTATCGCTTTTCACGGATCAGATGTACTCGTTTTTGTTCTTCAGTGTTGTGTATGCATCTAATGGCTCAGTCAGTTAGGAGGCACTTGCTATTCCACCCCTTTCTAAATTCTGTTTTTATCAACGTTCAGCCCTCCATCGGCCCACAACAACCATCTTACTTCATTACATTACCTTTACGTCATTCAGTAGTCATATCACCAGCGTGGGTATAAGTACTTGTAGCCATATCACTCAATACGTACTTCCCGAGCGATGTTCAAATAATCGTATAGAAATATAATTGACGAAATCACGAAAAAAGCAGAAAAAATCGATGATACTGGTATAAGTACTTGTTGCTACAATAATCAATACAGTACGCGCAACGGCACGAAAGGCCCCCACCCTACCCTACTAGAATGAGGAGTGATTACGTGAACTTTAGATGTGTTTCAAAGACCCGCTGAGATAGCAATCTTGTAAGAAGATTCTGTGATCTTTTGGAGTCAATACAAACATTTACGAAACATTCGTCACTTCCAATAGGATATTAATTATCAAGTAACATAACTCAGACAGAAATATCAAGGAAAGAGGTGAGATACATTTTAAATTTCAGGTGGAATATCGTGTTGGTTGTAATTACAATAATTACAGTTATACAGTTTCTCTCTTCACCTGGCCTTTATTCGTTCGTTGCAAGTGTGCACCTATTTAAAAAGCTCTGCTTGTAAGACAAGGACCTTCTTATGAAGCTTTTAGTTCATTACCAGGTTAAGGGAGGGTACTTGAGGACATTTTGGAGTCGCTTTCGCGAGAAACATAAGAAATTTCAATTCGGAACTCCGGTCCGATTTTGGATGGGACATACACTCGACAGGGCGGCGAACCACGCCGAACAGCGCGAAGTTGATGAGGCTTGTAAAACTTCGTAAATTTTTACCCGTTTTTGACTCAGTTTTTATTTATTTTTCTATCAAAAAGATGGTATTGACAGACTGCCTGAGTTTACAATTTGCGATCGCGTACAAACAATTCGTGCGAACGATTGGCCAGTATTGTTAGGCCGAAGAAGACAGACAGCGTTCTAATCCCGTCGTTTCTAACTTTTATCGATATGGAAGTTATTGAACATGTCATGATGTTTTATTCGTCGTCGTTGTCCAAATAAGATAGACACATTTGGACAAATTTCGTTGTCTTTCTTTCTAGTGCGATATTTGCATATTCTTGCACGGTGCTGCAAAAATGTCTCCTACTGTTTGTGTAATTGTAACGCAATATTTAGCAGATCACGCTTGGTTGAAGATGAAAGCGCCGGTCTTTTTGGATTTGTATAGTTAAGATGAAAAACTTGATTCAGTTTTTTCTAGTAATCTTTTCAAATAAAAATTTTCATTATCTCAGTTTAGTGAACAGTTCTCAGGATTTTGAGTATGTGATTGGCTTTTGCGTGACTGCGAACTTTAAAACGTCACACTTACGTGACTTCACATCAAACCATCTTCGTTCTGGAGTACGTGTTTCTATTTTAAGCACTTTTGAAGTAAAGTAACTTTATCGACAACACCTCATGATGCAAATTTAATTTGCTGAGCTGAATTGCAATATCTTAGATGGACGCTAAAAGCTGGAATAAATAATAGTGTAAAAAAGCGTCACGAAAAAGTAAAAAATTAAAATCCGCTACCAAAGGGCAAAAAGCCGTTTTTTTCATTAATTGATTGAGTGATATTTATATGAATATCTGATTAAAATTTTACAGAAGAAATTGTACAACTTTGTAAAATTGGTTTGATTTGAGCATTGTATTTTCGGATATGTAAATAAACTGACGAAATCGTCGTAATTACAGGGGCTAAATATGAAGAAGGAAAAAAATTACTCGCGGAATGCTGAGTAATTTTTGATATGTTATATGTTGGAGAATCTCTTCAAACCTTGATACAACCTTGTAACAGGTGTTTGCTTGGGTTGGTGAAGGCTTAAGAGGTAAGAATCCACTTAAATTGTACGACAATGGTCAACACCGGAGAAGATTGACGCAGATTGCAAATCATGACTTAGAGTATTTATTTTGGTGCGTGGCGAGAAAGCAGCGGTTTACGAAAATTACTACCGTTATTAACACGCTTCCTTGATTTTTATTGTTTAATAAAGAGCCACAATGCCTACTCTGAATTTGCCAAGATGGAGACGTTACCTAACAGTGGAACCAGTGGTACTTTTTTATACATTTGGTTTGTTCATGAGTCTCCCTGTCATGACACAGTACATATACTTCAGAGTCAGTGAATTTAAGGGCTTTCCGTACAACATATCGGCAACTACTGAAAAGGGATGTGTCGAAGATTCTAATGGAAACGGTACGTCTTTGGCGGAGTTGGAAAAGGAGGTAGGTAGCATCATGATGAAGTTCTTTGTAATGTTACGGTCATACTGAAAAATTTTGAATTTCTGTTTTGATGATACAGTTTTTCCTGTTAGTTTTCCCCTCATTCGTAAGATTTTAAGGATCATTTCAGTGATGAGGAGCCCAAATGTGAGCATGTTTTCTTTTCTTCTTAATCATTAGGTGCAAACCCTGGCGGCTAGAATTGACATGGGAAATATCCTCTTCCAGTCTCTACCGTCCATTCTTATGGTCCTTCTTTTGGGTCCTTGGACGGACACTGGTGGAAGACGTCCCGCTCTGTTAGCCCCTCCTCTAGGGAGTGCTCTAGAGGCCATTACTATTCTGCTTATAATGTATTTTGATTGGCCAGTGTTTGTGTTGTTTGTCGGCTCGGCCATAAATGGCTTCTCGGGATTCTTTACAATCATGAATATGGCTGCTTTCGCTTATGTTTCTGACATCACAACCGAAGAAGGACTCGCTATCCACATTGGTTAGTTAATTCTTTCTGTCTATTTTTAAAATGGCAAACGAAACCTGGATTAGTTCCCTTTTGTGTTACCACTCAAAAACTTGAAAAAGTTAAATCCACGACTGGCTAGCTGCGTAACGTGGATTTTTCTTAAGGAGGGCGAAGGGCAGGGTGGGATCACAATTACAAATGTACGCTTTGCGTGTGCAGGCTTGTACCGCTGCTCTTTCTTGTATATCAGCGGGCTCGTATTTATGCATTTAGGACCAGCAAATAGAGTTTCCTCGCGAGACGTGAAGCTCTCAGTAAAGTATTGTATACGATTTTCGTCTGGTTAGTTAAGGGTAGCTAGATCACATTTTTTAAAAGTCAATCAACAAGATTGAGTGCGTTGCAATTGGTCGTTACATTAACTGGAATAGCAGTCAAATTAAGTTCCTTCGCCTCGTTTGAATTGGTGAACAGTATTCTGCGTTGTAGTAAAATTACCAGCTAGGGTTAGCAGTCCTATCCCCCATAGCCATGTGACCGTCTTTTTTTTGTTTTTTGTTTTGTGTTTTGGAGAGATTTGTTCTACTGATTCTCGACGTTTTCTATTTTAGCCGTTGTCCAGCTCGTGGTATTCATTGGCGGAGTCGTGAGCCAGTTGACCAGCGGTGCATGGTTGAATAGACTCGGTTTCATCCCTCCTTATTGGTTCATTTTCGCCTGTCACGTGGCCGGGTTGCTATGGGCGGCGTTCATGGTACCGGAATCAAAACGCGAAAGCCAGAAAAACAAGATCCGCTTCTTCAGCTTAGACAGCTTTAAAGCAGTATGGAGTGTGTACAAGAAACCAAGAAACGGCGGAAGAAAAAATCTCCTTATGCTTCTCATCTCGGATGGGATAATCACTCTAGGGGTTTTGGGTATCAGTGGAGTAGTGTCGCTTTTTGTCCTGCGCACCCCACTCTGCTGGGGACCAGCTACGCTTGGGGTTTTTATGGCTTTCCGATTCTTCATGCAGGGTTTTGGTGGAATCGTGGGAATCGGAATTCTGAAAAGGTTCATGAGCGAGGTGAATGTCATGAGAGTTGGCATGGTGTCCCAATGCCTTTCGCTGGTTTTCTTTGCCTTTAGTAATCGCACATGGATGGTTTTTTTAGGTGAGAACTGAACCCGAAATTAAATTTACAAGGAAGTTTATTTCGCATCATGAATTCAGGAGTGTAGTCAAAGGGGAAGAGG